TTTCATTTCAAACACATTTGGGAAGGAGGTCGTTGCTGTTGCACTCCTGGCAGGCTCCGCATCACCGGGCCACCCCTAAGCATCCAAACGGTCCCCCAGGGCTCACAGGTGCACTGCGCTGTGGCACCGCCGGCTGACCCGGGAGAAGCACGGCCAGCGCCTTCCCCGGTCACCCCAGGCCAACAGGGGGATCGGAGCTCTGTGGACGCGGAGGATGGCCAAGGGTTACCCGGTCCCCGACATACACGCATCCCCCAGACAGCACCAAGAGAAAGGTGCGGGAGGCTCCGGGGGCCGGGAGAGCCCCGGCCGGGCGTGCCCACGCACCTGTCCCACCGCGGCGAGGGTTGGGGGCGCCTCTCAGGGCCGCAATCCTCTGGGGTCACCTGGCCCTCTGTCCTGGGCTCCTACGCCAACCCCTGGGGCCCGGAAGGGAGGGGGGCGGCCCCCTGCCGCTGCCACCTGCGGCACCGGTCCCGCAGTTCCCGGGCTTGGTGGGCAGGACAGGGTAGGAGGTCCGTCCCGGGCTGGGGGCGGGACCCGCCGGGCGGTGGGGGACCGGGGCCACCGCAGCGACAACGGCAACAGCGCGTCTTCCGTCTCGGACGGACAGTCCTGCGCCCCGCTGCCTGGACCCTCGGACCCCAAGGTTCGCCCGCCCGACCCGGGAAGACGACGCAGCTGAGGCGCAAAAGAGCCGGCGACCAGCGCGGCGCCTACTCACCGGCTCCGCTCGCTCCCGCCGCGCCGCCGCAGCCCGCAGCCGCCGCGGCTCCCCGAGCTCACGGATGCTCCGCGAAAGGTCCCTGGGATCCCACCCGCGCCTCCCGCAGCCGCCTCCAGGGGGCGGGCGAGAGCCGGCGCGAGGCATCCTGGGAGATGTAGTCCTGCGGCCCCTGCACATTCACCCTCGCAGCTCTCCATCCACGAACTGGTGGTGGTGTTTCTTCCCCCGTGCTTCCTCTCTGTCTCCCTCAGGGGCTCACCTCCGCTTCTTGCTAATAAGTGTGGGAACGCTCCAGTCGAGCCCTGGGCCTCCTCTCCTCGCTCTAGATCAGTGGTTCTCAAAATGTGGTGGTACCTGCACCAGCAGCTTCAGCATCGTCTGGGAACTTGGTAAAAATGACAATTCTCCATCACAGGGAGGCTATTCAGTTTTTCCTGTATTAAAATCTGGGGGTGGGGCCCAGAAATCTGCATTTTGAAAACCCTTCGAGTGATCATAATTGCTCTCCACAGCCTTGCCAAGGTACTTGCCCCTCTATCGCCCCCTTGCCAAGGTACTCAACATTACACTTGTGGCATTAGTTACCCACACACATACACCCGTATATCCTTGCGTACACTGGGGGAGACCCAGACAGTTTATGTCCCAACCCAGACCTCTCCTCTGACCCCAGACCTCTCCTCTGACCCCAGCCCTCATTGTTTCAATGTCCACCCAACATCTCCTCCAGTATGCCTCTGACACACCTGAAATCCACCGGATCACGACAAAATTCATGACCTTTACTTCCCTCCATCTAGTTCTCCTCCATTGTGCCTATGGCCACAGGCTAAAAACTGCCCACTGCAGTTATAGACATGGAAGCCACTTGAAACCGTAGTGAAAGCTACAGGGGTGGAACGCCAAGAACCCTGAGTCATAGTTGAAGGAGAGAGGAGGGAGGAATAGAGGAGGCAGGATGAATAACCAACTTCTGCAAGATGTGGTGGGGAAGGGAAGAAGAGGTACTGATGGCTGGGGATGGAAGCGTGGCTGAGGAAGGATTTTTTTAAAGACGTTTAAATATTTATGAAAAGAATCCAGTTGAGAAAGAGCTTCTGACCATACAGGAGAGGAAAGGGTTTTTCATACTGTATGATTCCTGAAAAGATTGTATATATGTGAGGGTGGAGGTGGAGTCCCAGGCACAAGCAGAAGGATGAGCCTCGACTAGTGGTTCTCAACCAGGGGGGATTTACCTCCCACCCCGACCCAGGAAAATGTGCTAATGTCTGGAGACATTTTTGATTGTGACTAGGGGTGCTATTGGCATCTAATGGGTAGAGGCCAGGGATGCTGCTAAATATTCTGCAATGCACAGCTACACACACACACACACACACACACACCAAAGAATGTTCCAGCCTAAAATGTCAATGATGCTGAAATTGAGAAGTCCTGGCTTGGACAGCAGCCTGTTCTGTTGTATGAGGCAGGAAGAAAGAAAGAAGAGAAAGCCAGAGTTTTCTCTGGAAAGGAAGAGAGGGAGTTGTCTATGAGGATAGATAGGTGTGGTGTGTGTGTGTGTGTGTGTGTGTGTATCAAATGCTGAATCATAGGAGCTAAGCTGCATAAGAAGAGAAGTAGGAGAGGGAGAGAGCTGAATGGTGGAGAAGTGGGTTCAACAGACTGGGAATCTTGATGGGGGTCCGAGATTTATTTATCTTATTGGAGTAATCGAAGAAGCAACCTGGAAAGGAATTTCCGGTAAGAGAATAGAGATGGTTGCTGATGACCAGGTCAGGATGTGAGGACAGATGGCTAATGTGGAGTGGAGGCAGGCCACCAAGTACCCTTATGTAGTTTGTGCAGTGAGCAGCACAGCCCTGCTGGAGTAGTGGGGTGAATAGAGGAGCTGAGGTCATACACGTGGATGTGGAAACAGCCATCCACATGGCAGATCACTTTTTACATTACTATGAGTGACATCTTTGGTGAATAAGAGAGTAGAAAGATGGGGTACCTGGGTGGCTCAGTCGGTTAGGCATCCAGCTTCAGCTCAGGTCATGACCTCATGGTTCATGAGTTCGAGTCCTGCATCAGGCTCTGTGCTGACAGCTCAGAGCCTAGAGCCAGCTTCAGATTCTCTGTCTCCTTCTCTCTCTGCCCCTCCCCCACTCACATTCTGTCTCTCTCTCTCTCAAAACTAAACGTTAAAAACTAAATACATAAAATAATCTTTATAAATAAGTAAACAAATAAATAAATAAATTTTAAGAGAGGGTGATAGAGTTCTAAAACTTCCAGGGGTTAGGGGCGCCTGGGTGGCTCAGTCGGTTAAGTGGCCGACTTTGGCTCAGGTCATGATCTCGCGGTCTGTGAGTTCGAGCCCCGCGTCGGGCTCTGTGCTGACAGCTCAAAGCCTGGAGCCTGTTTCAGATTCTGTGTCTCCCTCTCTCTGACCCACCCCCGTTCATGCTCTGTCTCTCTCTGTCTCAAAAATAAATAAAAACGTTAAAAAAATAAAATAAATAAATAAATAAAACTTCCAGGGGTTAGAGTCTTTTGTTTCTGACCGGGTCATTAAAGTTTAGTTTTGTTTCCTTGTGATCAGAGATCAGAGATCAATGTTGTCTTACTACTTCGCATCTTTTAAATACTTGAGTTTTCTTTGCGGCCTAAACTAGAGTCCATTTTTGTGAATGCTTTAAGGGCCCTGGAGAGGAATGCATATTCCGTTTTTGGCATACAGACTTTAACACATATCAATGAAATATAACTTATTAATTATGTCGTGTGAACCTTCCATGTCCTTACATGTATTTTGACCTGATATAATCTGAGAGAAGTAAATTAAAACCTTTATACTATCTGGGCGCCTGGGTGGCTCAGTCAGTTGAGTGTCCAATTTCAGCTCAGGTCACAATCTCTAGGTTCGCGAGTCTGAGCCCCGCATCAGGCTTGCTGCTGTCAGCACAGAGCCCCCTTCAGGTGTTCTGTCCCCCTCTCTCTCTCTCTGCCCTCCCCCACTCATGTTCTCTCTCAAAAATAAAATAAACATTAAAAAAGAACTTTACTACTATTGCGTTTTTATTTCTCCTTATTTCTGTGGAGTCCTGCTTTGTAAATGATGATGCTATGTTATCTGTGCACAGATATCCTTATATTCTTGTGAATTGTCCCTTTAAATTATAAAATGACCCTTGTCTCATTTGAGGTTTTTGACCTTTGCCCTGACTTTAACCTTGTCCGATGTTAATGACAAGCCTACTAAATTTTGTTTGCCGTCAGCCCAATACAGCTCTGCCCTTCTGTTTTCTCCTTTTCTGAAGCCTTTGTATTAGGCAAATCCCTTGAATCGAACATCAAGTTTTGTTTTGTGATTTAATCTGAAAGTCTTTTTTCTTGGAATAGATGGGTTTAGCCCTATTCATGTAATGGTTATGTCGTTTTATGCTGTGTTTTCATAGCCTTTCAGGTTCTTCTTTACCCTTTTCTTATGTGCTTGGTGTTTGCTTTGCTGTGTTGGGTGTGTTTCTCCTGAGGATTTGGAGGGTTTAAGTTTTATTCAAAAGGTTGCCTTTACAACTGTAATTGTACATAATACCCTCAGTCCTCTACCCCTCCAGACTGTTTCCGTTTACTGCTTGTTGAACAACGATAACAGAGTACGTTTCCTTTTTCTTTATCCCTCCTGTCTCCACATCCAATGTCAAAGGATTTTATATTTCTTTAATGTTTGCTTTTTTTGTTGTTTTTTTTAATTTTTATTTTTGAGAGAGAGAAAATGAACGGGCAGGGGCACGGGGGGGGGGGGGGGGGGGGGGGACAGAGGATCTGAAGCAGGCTCTGCACTGGCGAGCCCCATGTAAGGCTTGAACTCATGAACCCAGAGATCATGGCCTGAGCCAAAGTTGGTCACTCAACCAACTGAGCCACCCAGGCCACCCCGGTGTCTGCTTTTTTCTTAAAATTACATATGTTTACACATACTTCTATTACTTGTTTAGAAAAATTTTTTTCTAATGTTTATTTTTTGAGAGAGGAAGAGACAGAGCACAAGCAGAGGAGGGGCAGAGAGAGAGGGAGACGCAGAATCCCAAGCAGGCTCCAGGCTCTGAGCTGTCAGCACAGAGCCCGATGCTGGGCTCGAACTCATGAGCCTTGAGATCATGAACTGAGCCAAAGTCGGATACTTAAACAACTGAGCCACTTGGGCACCCCTTGATCTTTTTTTAATCTGCTTTAAATGAAATATTTCCACCCCTGGCTATAAAAAATGAGGAACTCAATATGCTTTAAAGACCCCTTCCTTTACTTTCCCTTCTCATCCCAATTTTTGTTAGTTAGACCACTTCTACATTACTGGGTCTGTAAAATCATACATTCTGCTCTGTAATCATCAGCCCCACATTTGTGTTCATCTGGGTCCTCCGGGTGAGCAGACTCAGAACCCCCACAGTGATTTCACCAAAGTGTCCCCACCCCCCTCGCCACACACTTATTTTGTGGCATCCCATCCTGTGATCCATCCCATCTCGTGATGTCATCTTGAGATCTCATCTTGTGGAGATCTTGCTTTAGTTTTTTTCAAGCACAATTTATGGAAATGATAGTCGCTGAGTTTCTCGCGTTCAAAAACGTTTGTTGCCTTTATCCTGAAAAGGTTTGGCTGAATACGAAATTCTTGAGCGGTACTTCATTTCTTGAGAAATGTGTATGTATTGCTTCATTGTCTTCTCTGCCACGATGATACCTGAAACCAGCCTGATTTTCTTTTTTTTCTTACAAGCGATGTAAATGCCTTGCTGCCCCAAGAATTACTTCTTTGTTTATGAAATCCATGAACTTCACTGTTACACATTTTGGAATTATCATTGCGGGTGGATAGTTCCTGGGAAAAAAATGGACTGGCTGTGTGGATTCAGCTCATCTTTTTAATTTGGTCATTTTTCTTAGATTTTTTTTTTCTTTTTTAAGTAATCTCTACACTCAACATGAGGCTGGAACTCATCACCCCAAGATAAAGAGTCATATGCTTTACCGACTGAGCCATCCAGGGACCCCCAAAACGAATACTAAGGATGAGTCATGTTTTTGTCGTAGGATCACTTAATGACTAGTTCGTTCCACAAATTGTTTAGCATACGTTCATTAAGCAACTCTAGGCCAGGTACTATTCTGGGCCCAGGGACTAGAGGTTTTTGTTTTTGTTTTGTTTTGTTTTAAATAAGCTCTACGCCCAACATGGTGCTAGAACTCACCACCCCAAGATCAAGAGTCACATATTCTACCAAATGAGCCAATCAGGCACCCCATTTCTCTTAAATCTTTAAATATTTCTTCTAATACGTTATTTTCATCTAATTCTAGGGTAAATAAGCACTCTATTCCCATTGTTCCTAGGAAGGGTTTTATATATTCGGGTCTACTGTCACCTTGGTGGTAAACTTGGCCAGCTCCTCCTGAGAGATCTAGTTTTCTCCCGTTTGATTTCAGGAGCTTCTGTCAGCCCTCTCTTGTTTCTGTTCATTTGTCTGAGAGAGAGAAAGAGAGAGCAGGGAAGGGGCAGAAGGAAAGGGAGAGAGAGAATCTTAAGCAGGTTCCATGTTCCAGGCCGGAGCCCGACAGGGGGCTCCATCTCATGACGATGAGCATGTGACCTGAGCCGAAATGAAGAGCTGGACACCTAACCAACCGAGCCACCCAGGCGCCCCAGCCCTCCCCTGTTTTATGGTTGGGGATTTCACTGCCTCCAAGCTTCATGAAAGATGGTATTTATGTTTATGTCTCATACTCTTCCTTACTCAGGTAATTTCTGAAAGAGGTGTGGAAAATTTCAACTGTATTTCACCACGTCCAAAACAGATCCATTTTCAATCCTTTCTCCAGACTGTTCTATTATTTTTTTTATTTTTTTAATAAAAAATATTTATTTTTATATTTATTTTATTTATATTTATTTTATTTTATATTTATATTTATTTTATATTTATTTATATTATATTATTAAATTAATAAATTATTAATTTATTAAATATAATTAATTATTAAATATATTATATTTAAATTATATTTATATTTATTTTATTTTATACTTATTTATATTTGAAGGAGAGAGAGGCAGAGCATGAGCAGGGGAAGAGCAGAGAGAGAGGGAGACACAGAATCCGAAGCAGGCTCCAGGCTCTGAGCTGTCAGCACAGAGCCCAGTGTGGGGCTGGAACTCACAAACTGTAAGATCATGACCTGAGCCAAAGTCAGACACTTAACCAACTGAGCCATCCAGGCGCCCAGGAAATTTTAATTTCCCCTCTGTTAGGATGATCACTGGTCGCCCAAACCAGAATACTGGAAGCAAAAGACAGTGACATAAATATGATGCCATTAATATGACTCATATTAATCCCTGAGGATTAACTCTGGGAAAGCAGGAGGTACCGTCACCCTACCTCAAGGGTGCTTGCCTTTTGATTATTGAGTTTGGAGTTTCTATTGCAGTCTTATTTACAACTGGAGACCCTTGTTTCCCCCCTTCCCCCACCGTCCAGCTGTGTTAGAGTCCACTCACCCTCTGGAAAACACCACCCACCCATCCTCAGTCTAGACAGGAATTAGATGGGGTGGTTCAGGGTCCCTGTCCTTGGGCATATTGAAGATATTGCCGATTCTGTCACTAAACCAGAGGCTCACTTAGATGGGTGCCTGTGTCCTCTCGTCTCCCTGCACAGGTCCCTGCACATAAACTGTAATCCTAGGCAGGGATGGACAGCAGCTTTTCTTATCATTCTTTCAGGAACCAGGAATCCCACCCTCTACAGCCCCATCTCTTGTGAGGAAGTTTTAGATCCTGTTACCCACAGAATTAAACTCCCAGCCTTCTCTGCCTTGTTCCAGATTCAGGGTCCAGCAGTCCAATGGCTTCAGGCCAGCACCCCACTTTGGATTTCTTCCCTATTTCTAGTCCACGGAGATATGTTCAATGTCTTTGAGTCTGATTTTATGTTTAATTTTTGTTCTTTTTTTCTATCTATTTCTTTGCTATATTTAAGGGATGAACTTACAGTGCTATATTAAATAGAAATATCTGTACGATTTCTACTTTGGGAAATGTTCCATTCGTAAATGTTAGGCCGCAAAGAAAAACCTTGAAAAATTCCAAAAATCAACACTCACACTGACCCAATGCAATAAAATTATAAATTAACCACAACGTGATGTTATAAATCACTCAAGTCAGGGAAGAAAGAGGAAATAAACTCCAAAATTATAAACTCCCTTGAAATACATTTCAACACGAGAGTTATTGAACAACATTGGTTCACAGCATTTATCGCTCTCTGACATACTTTATGTTTTACATTTCAAAAAAAAAATGGTCTGTCTTCCTCCAGCTAGAATGTATGCTCCCTGCGGGAAGACACTTTGTTTCTGTTTCGTTCATTGCTGTTCTGTTCATTCTGTTCGTCCCCAATGGTGGAAACACTCTGTTTACATAGCAAGCACTCAATAAATATTCGCGAAATGAATGAAGTGTTGAACAAAATTCATCTCACGTGTGCAAGACTGGTTCAACATTAGAGAATTTGTTAGTGTTGGCAGACAGCCCCTCCTTTCCTGCCCATCACTCCCTTGCAGTGTGTTCAATAAAGTTCTATCTCCACAAAGAAGAAGAGAGGAGAGGAGAGGAGAGGAGAGGAGAGGAGAGGAGAGGAGAGGAGA